TGCCTTCTCTTCTCCCCATTTGTTATCTGTCTTTGCTGTGTGGGTTTTTTTTTTTTTTTTTTTTGTTTTGTCATTACCCCAACCCACTCATCCCCCCCCCCCCTCTCAAAGCACTTGCTCTGTGTACTCTTTAATACCCCTCTAAGCACTCTTCAGTTGATCCATAGCAAAGATGAGCATGTTGCTAACAGGATGTCATGACAAATTTGTACTTAAAGACCAGCAAAAAAAAAAAAAAATTCTCGCTGAACACTCACAGTTAAGGCTTTAGTGGTTAATTTGAAGCTTATTTTTTTTATTTTTCGTCCACATTAGTGCCCATCACTTAATGACACACACTCCCTCCCCGAGCAGCCGATGCCTTTGGAGCACTAAAGCTCGTCACGTCTTCCTCTGTCGTTGCCCCCACCCGCCCCTCCACGTCCTGGTGGGGAGACTGCGTGCATCTCGGACCACCGTCGCTCCCCTCTCTGATCCACCACTACACATCCACCCCAATCTTTGAAAGTCCTTCTTGCCAAATTTCCACTTCCTCCCTCCCTGCTCCTCCCCTTCCTTTTCAAATCAAGTAAACACTAAACCTCACTGGGCAGTCTTCAAACACTACTCGCCACTCCGGCTCCCATCCTGTCAGATATCACCCCTTAATCTGTGTTTTTTAAAACAAAAAATGCGAGGATGCTCTGGGGCATCACTATTTGATCTTGGCGAGATCAGCCCCTCTCCACTCCCTGTAGATCATCTCGAGCCCACAGTAGATTGTAAGAAGGGATCCAACTGAGGACTTTTGTGATCACCTCTGTCCTTCCAAATGTGGTGGTGGTGTGGGACTCTCCTCCTGGCATAGCAGCCCTCCCCTATTACACGAAAAATGACAACCCACGGACATTCCACAATAACAACGGCTCAGGCACTTAATACTTTTGTTTGCCAGCTCCTGTAATGTATATTCTTTAATTTCTTTTTGTTTTCTTTTTAAAGGCTGCCTTTTTCTTTTCTTTATTTTTTTTTTTTTTGGAGAGTAGACATCCCAGCATATAACCTTCTGGAGTGTGTCCAGTTTGAATTTCCTTTTCTTTATATAGGACCAAGTATAGTTGAAGGTCGGGTATTTGTACACTCGCTCTAAATCATGTGAAGGATGGCTGCTTTTTATTCTTTCTGATGAAGGAAACACTAACCAGACAGTAATACTAAAGTTTAAAAAAAAAAAAAAAAAAAGTGAAGTATCAGTGGAGGTAAGGGTGGGAGTTTATGAAGAAAATGATCATTAGGTTTTTTGTTTTTCTCTTAGAAGAAACACAACTGCATTTCAGCAGCCCCATGCTGTGTTGACAACTATAATACTGTGGAATAAATTGCCTTTTCTCTAGTCAGTTGAGCTCTGGGGAATCAGCCTGTCCACGCTCAGCACTGCTAACAACGTCCAAGTGGGGGGAATAAAAAATAACAGTAGAAATGACTCTTAATGGGAGATGGGATTAGTTGGAACAAAGACGCTCATGGCTGTTTTGTCGAAACTTTAACTGCAGAACCTATGTATCCTGTGCCATAACGTAGAGAGATCTGTTGCTGTTGTAAAACGGATTGTTACCCACTGTCCATGAAGGGGTCATTTCATTGGCACTTTTTTTTTTTCTTTATTTTTCTAGCTTCAGCTCCACTGTTTAGGCCTTGTGGGATATGTGTACTCATTAAAAAAAAAAAAGGAAAAAAAAATATTGTTTCAAGTCCTGTTTGCCGGTCTATTCATTTTCTTTCCTCACCACTTTTTTTTTTTCTTTTTTTTTTTTCTTCTTACATCTGGGATACAGTCTCTTTAATGCATTTGATTTCATATGCATAAAACCAAGAAATGCCATAAATTGATTTATCACCTTGTTTACAGACAGATCAAATAAATTTATTCCAACCAGATTGTGAGTTTACTGTCTTCTCTGTTGATCTGAACACTTTACTCTCAGTGAATCTGTGGTAATGTTTGGACTGAGCTAACTGCAGGTGTTACCGTCAGGTTAGGCCTCATCTAAGGTGCCTGAGCTCCCAGACACGGGTTAAGGCTAGTCCCAGAACGTAAGTGTTTCTTCAGATCTGAGTGTAAGATTGTGAAGTCCTTCTCAAATGAGTTTTCCTCTACAGAAAACTAATTTATTTTCTTATGTCAGACCAGACTTGAGACATTACTGCTTTCATTACAGCTGTTCAGGAACTTGAAGTGGCTTTTAATTACTTTAACAGACGTTCAAGGTCCATCAAAACGCATCATCTTTACTCTCGGATGTTTAAGGTCCATAAAGTGCTAAGAAAAGACCATAATGTGACATTTCCTTACCACAAGTCCACAGTTCCTGTTAATGGAGATGATTAGAAGGTTGCTGTTGTGATTGGTGTGGGGGTACGGACAGGCTTGGGGGCGTCGGGGGATTCCCCAGGAGCATCTTCCTTGGAGGGCTCAACCCGGGATTGCGGTCACGGCCTATTAAGGGCTCTGTTGGCTCTGAGGTGACGGTTTCCTTGTGGCTGCGGGGGTAGGGGAGGGTCTGTGCTGACGGACGTGGGTTTCTGACCTGGTAGTCTGGGTGGATCCGGGACAGGCGTGGGGTTCTGGGGGTGCTCAGTCTCTGGGCTGGGGCCCTGGTTGGTGTGTTGCCGGGGTTGTGGGCGGGTGGGTTTATGGGGGCCCAGCCCTGGCGCTGGGTGCCGCCAGTGCATCGAGCCACCTGGGGGGGCTCTTCAACAGGTGGGGGAGGCTGTTACATCTTGCAGGAGGTCTCCTCTCTTCAGGAACTCAATCTGCAGGAGGGGGAGATGCAGGAGAGGTGGAGGAAGATCTCAGCCTGGGCGTCTATTGTCTTGTGTAGTCTGGATGACGGGGTGGGTGCAGTTTTCTCTGTGGTGGGGTTGGGTGGACTGTCCCGGGCTCTGTGGGGCCGAGCGGCGCTGCTG